TAGACTTAAATCTGAATCTTTTATCAGTGTGAGATTAAAGCCTCTTAGATTAATTTATACTCATTTAAATACTGTACTTTATAAGCAAATCAAATTTAAATGTTACATTCAGTTAATTAAATAGTTAAAGGAGAATTCCACTTTACCGGTTTAAAAATGCATAACCCAGTGAATTTTTGTGCGTATTCGCATCTTGCTCTGAGTCAAACGTCACAGAACGGATTAAACATAGTTATTAGCAAGTCACACGGTGAGAGGTTGGTGTGATGGTTCTCCTCTTTAATGGGTCACCAGCAGAAAGTAGTATGATTTTAATCACTGTATGAAACTGGCTGGTTACTGGTTTGAACCACTTGGGGGCAGAGCAGCACTTTGATGTACAACAGCTCTGTAATTCCAGTCTGAAGCTTGTCAAAAAGATCAGTTCTCAGCGGTTTATGACTGATATTTCTAGGCATGTTATTGAAGTCTGGGGTTCAGTCCTGCTGTCGAATGACATATATTTACAGTTCTGTTGGTTGCAGAAAGGTTTCCAAAGATCTATTCAACCTAAAAAGTTTAAATATGTTATTTAATCATAGTCTGTATAGATGTTTAAACTGCTAAATATCAGCTTTCCTTATACCTCTCACATGTGGTAAGACGGAGCGTCTGCCAGAGGTATAAGTATGGACCAAGTAGTCATCGGGATGCACCCCAGCTGTGTGCATCCACAAACCAGTTGCTAATTACTGGAATGCAACACAGCTGAGGTGCAGAGCCCACATGATAGAGGAGAGAAAGACGGAGCAGAGGCCCTGACAATCAGAAGTTGCTTCTACAAGAGGTTGTATAAAATGTAACTGGTTGATACAGAATTTGATGCCTGTGAATTTAATAGTCCTTATAAAGAAACACTTTTGTGGCTGGTGATTATCCTCCTCTAACATGACACATGCTCTGTTTGATTAGCTCTCCAGCTCATCATGAACATCGTGGACTGTTTGAGCTCTGACCTTGTGCAGCAAAACCCATTCATTATGAAATTATTAACATTTACAACTGCAGATGTGAAGAATTATTGTCAGAGCTCTTTTATTATCATCTATAATTATAAATGACTTCCTAACATTTGGAAGTGAGAGACTCTTGACCTTTTAGCAGTGATTTTATTATTATTAATTTTTTCAGGCTTTAACCCTTCATTAGAGACCTGACAGAGTAGATGGAGTAAGAGGGGAGAGAGGTGGGGAACAACATGCAACGAACATCCCCTGCCGGACTCAGAATGAATCTATGAGGTTACCTCATATTAGCTTTATTAATGACTCAGCAGCCAAGACAAAGACATTTTATAACCTGGAAATTTTTTTTTTTGGTATCAATGACGTACTGTTGTAGGTTTTTTTCTCATTATTTATTAATATATACTTTATATTTCATCCTTTATAAACTTTATAAAGGGTAAAACTGTTATATTGCACACTTTCAAAGTCAGTGTGGGTCATGTTTGATTATACAATAAACTGTATTATGCTGGTATATGAGTCATCTAAAAGGAAACGTATCAAAATGTACCGTTTTACTGTAACTCACCTAAGATTCGTCACACCAGAACGTGTTGTATGTTCTGTAAAGCTCAGTTATTGATTCATACTGCAGCTGCTGTGATACAGAGAAATGCATATGAAATCATACAAACCAGGTATTGTTGTAACACTACAAAAGAGTCATATGAATTATCAGAAAATCAAAACTTTAAATGAAACAAATCTGACTAATAACATTCTACAAATAAAGCTCACAAAATGTTTGTACTGGACCATCAATCACCATGTTTATGAAGAAAGAGAGCGCATACTTTTTACTTTTCAAGTGGTAACAGTATTTCTCAGTACCAAATTCACTTTATCAAATCTCTTCCCACAGTCAGCTTAGCAATAGTCAGTGTGGACTAAACCAGGAACCACTTTTCATTGCTTTAAGACTAATTCATTCACTGACCACACCATAATCCATGGATAAATTCATGAATTCAGTTGTTTTACAAACTCAACCATCATCAAACCTCATTGTATTCCCACTTCATTTTGCACAGGTGGGTGCAGTGAAACACTTTAACAGTGGAAGTAGTGATGACGGTAAAGGCTTACATGCAAGCAGACAGGCAGGTGAGCAGAAAAACACCAGGTGGTCAAATCAAAGGGAACAGGCAAAAGTCAGAGTCCAAGAACCAGGCAGGATAAGCAGACAGAACAAAGGCTGGAACACTATGGCATGACAGTCAGTCTGGCATGAAGTGGCAGAAAAGGACCAGTAAATATGCAGAGAGCCAATGAGGGAAATGAGAACAGGTGTGTAAGTGGGCGGGTGAGGTCTGGTAATTGAGAACAGGAGACAGGTGAGCTGGTGGATCTGGAAGTAGATGACTGGTATAGCAGGAAAATAGTCTGAGAACATCTGGTGGGTTGATGGAGAGTGTTAGGAGAAGGGCTGAAACAAACAGGGCAGGGATGGTTTACATACGGTTGTAAAGACAGATTCACATTCAAACCCTTACATAAAAATGAAATTAGATTTCAATTTGTTACATTCTGCTAAATCTACGTACATCTAACTGAGTTTTCATTCCTTGGTGCCCTCTTGTGCCAAGTGAGAGATGGAATTGTATTTCCTTCCACCTTACCCTCCGAGGCATCACTTTCTCATCTCAGGGTGTCAAGTGCCCATGAGTGGGCTAACAATGTACTCTACTGAAAAGTCTGTGTGTCTCATAAGGTGTCTGTTAGCATCTGTGTAATGCACAGAAGGTACTTGACAAAACGTCGGTATTTGACGGTCTGAGAATGAGGTCAGGCTGAGGACTTCATTTGCATTACTGTAATTACATTTCATGAACTTGAATTTATGCAAAAAAGGCCAAAATAATGCCTATCAAAGCATGTCGGAGCAATTCTGGCTAATTTTTCTGACGTATACTTTACTGAAAAGTCCCTGCAGTAAAAAAGTGCAAAAACAATAGTGATTCATATTGTTATGCTACCTGTTGTCAGTGGTTTTTAGGTCAGTGTGTCCAGAGTGACGGTTTTCTTGTTGCCAGACAAACGTTGTCAGTGTTCAGACAGAGTTGGTCATCCTGAGATGTTCATCGAATGTTTTGGCTGCATGCTGGATGTTAGATTAACTGTTGTGCTGAGCTGCAGTTCTGAATAAGTGTGATACCAATTGTTTAAAAAAGCTGTAACATGATCTATTCAGTGGCATTTTACACTGCAGTTCAGCTTCTTTTCAGTGAGGAATCCAAATTCTAAATCAACAGCAATAAAAGAGTATTTCTGTGGACCCTGTAACTTCAGGCTGACTTCATTTTGAGGTTTAACTGTGAACCCATCTAGAAAAAATGCTTCCTGTCGGGTGCAGGGTGTGTGTGTGTGTGTGTGTGTGTTTGGGTTAGAGAGAGAGAGAGAGAGAGAGAGAGAGAGAGAGAGGGTGACAGAAAACAGAGAGAGTCAGAGAGATTTATCACATCTGCTTCTTTGAGTCTTTTTGTCTTACTGAGCAGGCAGCTTGATATTGTTTATATCTTGCAAAGGAGACATCAACAAATCAGATCTATACAATAATACAATCTAGAAACACAGCACAGAAACAAAGGCCATCTAAAGAAAATGAATAACATGGGTGTTCAGACCGTGCTGGTCTTCCTGCTCCTCTTCATGGCGACTGTGAAGTCTGACCCAGGTAAATATCTAACTGTCTTTGTTTACTTTATCCAGTGATTTACCTTAAAGCATAGTGTTTTAATAGACTGGTCTGGATTTTGTACAGCACATTCTGTCAAAACTGTGACATTTAAGAGCCTTTTCAAAGAAATGTCTCCAATTTCCTGTATTTCATTTATGCTGTTCAAACTGCTGTGTTGAACCTTTGTCTATTTTTCACTCCACTGAGCTGCGGACATCTTTCACTCTGATGTTTTCATATACTTTATTCTTCACTGTAGTATATGAGTACATTTTATTTTGATTGCTAGTTGCATTTTAGTTATTTAATGTGGGCTGTTAATTGAAACATCTCAATCTCTGTCTATGTAAGATAATAACATGGTATAATACATAGTATCAGATGCACATGCAAGGAATTTAGTCTTGGAAACACATCTCAGCCCTCAGACCTCATTTCATCCTTAAAAACAAATGAGTATTAATGAAAGCAAGTACATTATTATAAATTAATATTTGTCCATATGATTTAAGGAGTTCAATTCTGGAGAGAAGACTTCACAATGACCTGTCCAGGAAAGGGAACGTGGTTCTTCAAAGGAAAACAAATACCAACTGAAACACCTGAAAGATCTGATACATCTGAAACATCTGAACCATCTGAAACATCGAAAACATTTGAATATAAGCAACGATATAATAGGGATACGAAAGGCCTATATTACTGTACATATGGATCAGAACCTGTTAAATATTATTTCTACGTGCAAGGAATGGGTGAGTAAAAATCTTTTGATTTCTTATGATGTGCCACTTTTGTGTGTCGTCCATCCTGAATTAACACTTCTTCAACTGCTGTTCTTTGTTCTCTAGTGTGTCCAAACTGTTTTGAGGTAGATGCCACATGGATTGGGGCGGTTATTGTTCTGGATGTGGTCGGCACAGTGTTTGTGATGATGGCGATCTACAGGTGCACCAAGAAAGAAAGCCCAGCTGGACCTACACACGCTTCCAAAGGTAAGAATAGAGTCAAACAGATAAGAAAAACATGGCTTTACACTACATCACATATCTAATATGGCTGAGTAAAAGGTCTAATAATATCCCTTGGACATGTTGCATGCTGATTTTTAAATGACACCACAAATGCTTGATTGCATTATTTGCCATTATCTTCCAGCACCTGGTCGTTCAGGAGGCCGGGGTCCACCTGTCCCATCCCCTGACTATGAGGTAGGTGTTTTTATGTGTGTTTGTGATTTTCTTGTCCAGAGTGATTTGGCAGGAGCACAGCAGAAATCTTCAATTATGGTTCAATCAAAACTTTTCTCTCTCCTGAGGAGTCAGTGAGTCAGTGTCCAGCCAAGAAATAGTCCAACATGATATCCATTCAAAATCTTAAACCTTCTCAGCAAAACACAAATATGTGTATGTCCTAAAATGTTTCAATCAGGTACAACAAAGCTACTTTATTTTCAAAGTTAAAATATGGACTATAATTGAAAATCTGCTTCCTGATTACCGTTACTACTGCCCCTGAAAGCCAGGTGTGACTTTGATTTACAGTTATGTTATGTATAATGCTCATTTATCTTGAAACAAAACCGTCACCACGTTTGTGATCAACCTAACACTGTTCATGTTGTGCTTTGACAGCTACTGAATGTTCACACTCGCACCCAGGATACTTACAGTTCTCTATCGTGAACAGGACAGGATAATTGAAAGTCACCTAAACGCACCTGGTCGGGGTCCATGGACGACAGCAAACATTAAACACACACACACACACACACACACACACACACACACGAGGAAGCATCATGGTTCCACTAGCATGAAAACACAGGCTTTTGGATTTGAAGGGTTGCTCATTTAACTCAAAAGGCTAAAAGACAATTCCCTTGTTCACTTACCTTGTCAGATACAATAGCATGGGCTTCCTTTCTCCAGGTGTTCTGAGAATTTATTTTGAAGCACTCATTGTACTACTGACAGGGTGTTTAATGGATTATTCAAAGCAACGAGGACATTGTCTCCACCTGTTACTTACAACTGATACTTCGATACTTATGCTGGAGGGTGTGGGAAAAGATGACTGGATCAGTGGAGTAGCTGAGCTAATTGAAATATGAAAACTATGATTTGATAATGTACAAATGGGTGACAAAGTAAAGGAAAAACCAACATGAAGTGTCTTAGTATGGTTGTGGACCACTATGTGCCACCAGAACAGCTTCAGTACAGCTTGCCGTTGATTCTACAAGTCTCTGGACTCTACTGGAGGGATGAACACCATCTAACACGAAGGTCCAAAATCTCTCACAGGTGTTCAACTGGGTTGAGAAGACCACAGCCTTTAATTCACATCATTTTCATACTCACCAAACCATCCAGTGACCCACTGCACCCTGCGGATGGGGGCACTGTCATCCTGGAGGAGTCCGCTCATTTGTCCAGGTTTCTCCATGAATTTGTCACTTGTCTGTACAGCCACATATTAGTATTAGGGGGGAAAGCAAACATACAAAGAGGATGACAAATTGGTGCGATGCCACTGTAATCAACTATAACACAAAGTGCTGCAACTGAAAGTGGAGAACAACAAGTACAGTAGTAACAACATATAAAGAGCCAAAATGTTTAGTTTCTTTTAACAGTAGTAGCGACATTTAAAGAGCCAAAATGTTTAGTTTCTTTTACAAGAATAATGCAAACGTGATTGACTGCATTTATTATGGGTATTGATAAAAAAAATCCTATAAGGGATTTAATGGGGAGTAATTGCATTGCTGTTGAGTCAGATCAGTTATCTCAGGGAGCTAAAGTCAGAAACTATTTGCATGGCTAGAAACAATTAGAGGCAAGTGAATATTTGTTTTCTTGTTTAAATATACACTCACTCTCACTTCATTATTTATTTACACTTGTGCACTCTATTGCAACCCAATACAACTGTCCTACCATAAAGTTTATTTTGATGATGCCTAGAATGTCCAGTGTCATAATGGTGTTGATTAAATGTAATGCTTTAGTGTTCACTGTCACTAGTTAGTGTTGATGACGGGTCACATTATATTCAGAAATGTTTCTGCCTCATTCATGTATGTAAGTGGGAAAAAAATGGAAACACCTCTCAAATATAATGTAGCCCAGCACAGTATCATCTTTACTATGACCTCCGTAATAAGCACATAACAGAATTTAGACATTTGTGAACACTGCCAAAGACAAACCATCTAAAGCTCGGGCTTTGTACTGGATTCATTTAGATTGCACAGGTTTACCAGTTGTGTTTTTTTAAGGGGCCACTGGTTTTGTAAATATATCTTCTTGTACTTTGAGTGTGCTGACCACTTAATATAAAAGTTCTACTTTGCTTCATAATTAAGAATCATAACTCATTTCAAAAGTAGAGATTGACCCATTTTCTGTACATATATGTCATTAATGCTAAAACTTATTTTGCTCATCACAGTTTTCTTTCTTTCTTTCTGTTTTCATGTTAATTCTATGTGTTAATCTTCTTGTTACAGTGACAGGCGCAGCGTGTGCCATTAATAAATAAACCACAGTCAACTTTGTTTGTTTTCATATTCTTCTTTGCTCATGGCTGGAAACAGTACCAAGATGCTTCTACAGATACAGCTCTATGTGATTCATGAAGCAACCATAAAGCCGCAGCTCATATCCGTTGCTCGCCCGCATGCACACTGTCTCCATCAATAGGTCTTCATCATGACACTATCTCTTTTGTGAGTGTCTTAGGAAACATCTGATGTATCTCTGAAGCATTTCCCAATACTTATACATATGTATTTTATATGGTTAGACACATTGGAAATGTTGTGTCATGTTTTTGTCCTCTGTTGTTTTTACTGTGACTTTCTCAGCAGTGACTGAGAGCAGCAGCACTCATGGAAATGATGATGACAAACATGATGCCACACAAAATACATAATATTTTCTTCATGCAGATTACTGATGAGTGATTTATTGTAGCTCAGAGATACAGTGTTTAACGGAAACACTCCCACACTTACTGCTCAGTTATCTTCATCTACATCTGCTGTATGTTTGTGCGACACAAAGAAGTGTGTGTGTGTGTGTGTGTGTGTGTGTGTGTGTGTGGTAAATGAATACAACGTGCTCTTCAATCTGACTATCTGGAGTCAACCCAGTCCCACACGCAGACCTACATCTGCCCGAAGAGCGTGTATGTTCATGTGAGTGAACATCTGTGCATGAAAGTACTCATTTCTATTCAGCAAGTACGTACACATGACCTTGTGTGAGTGTGTGAGTGCATGAAAG